AATAAATAATTTATTTATTCGATTATTTAGTTATTTTTTGTTAAACTGCATTGACCATCTTTGAAACGGTAAATGTGTGAATTGCGCCACCAATTTTTTGTATTCGAGCAAACTATCGATCCAAAATTCTAAATCTTCTTCAAAAATCTTTTTTTTTTCTTTTTTTTTTCCTGAGTAACTGTTGACTGTCATTGAAGTTGAAAGGAAAAATAAGTCAATTTCTTTACTTTTTTCTTATTCAAGCTAAGTTACAATTTCAGCTCATCAGAAAAATCCAGAAGAAACTTTTCTCGAGTTTTATGAAGTTTCTTTTTTTCTTTTAGAAGATAAATCTTTAATTTGTTGGGGGGAAGAGATTTTCAATCCTATTTAGTTTTGAGCTACTTAAATATTCAATTTGGGGTATTTAAGTGGATATTGGATCTTCCAGATTCCTCTCGAGTTCTACTTAAAATTTCGTTTTTGCATTCGAGTTTCTTAAAATTCTTCTTTGAAACGCAAAAGCTGATGCTTCTATTTTAATTCCCCTTTGGAATATTTGGTTTTGAAATATATAAGGTTTGGTTAACATGTCAGCATTTAAATTTTATTAAATAATTTTAGAATTGAATTTTTTGCATTATAGTTTCTCAACTGTATTATAAGAGACCGTCGTGATTAGAATAATAATATATGTACTTCGTTTAAGTTAATATTTGATTATCCTAGATTCTATTAAAGTTTTTCTCTAACTCTAGTGTACTTTTATTAAAATGTTGGTGCATTATAATGAGAAGTAAGGGTTATTCTAGCCAGTTGTTTTATATAGCAATGTAACCTTGAACTCTATGCGAAAGTTTTCTAAAATTTAAAACTCTTCGTTCGAAAATATAAAATAAACTTGCTTTCAATTTTCTAAAAATTTGTTTATATTTTCATTTCACTGACAGGAAATAATTTTACAATGGAATTCTTTTGTATTATATAATCCATGAACTGTGTTATAAGAGATTTTGTGATTGGAATAATGCTGTATACATTACATTTACGTTAATGTTTGATTACTCTAATTTCAATTATGGTTCTAACTCTAGTGTATTTTTATTAAAAAGTTAGTGCATTATAATGAGGAGTAAAGCTTATTCAAGCTTCTTTTTAAATATTGCAGTGTCACCTTGAACTCTATACTAAAGTTATATAAACTTTAAAACTCTTTGTTCTACAAAATTTATAACTTTTGATAAATTTATTGAAAATTTATTTATATATATATTTTTTTTTAATTTCGTTTCACTGAAAGGAATATTAAAATGTCAACAGAAGACATAGGCGTCTAATTTTTTTAAAGTCGTAAATTACAAAATTATTCGAAAATATTAAGGAAAACTAATAATTGAGACTAATACTGAAAACTAATAATTTAGGAAAGAATTGCTAGATAAAAATATTTAAAATCGATTTATAATAAGGATCATAGTTTAAGCTCTGAAATTTTTTTTTTTTCTTAATCAACTAGGCCTTTTTTAATCAACTTTTTTTTTCTTAATCAACTTAATCAACATCATAGAGACTGTCTGTGTCATGTTTGGCTTGTTCATTTTTTTTTAAGAGTTAAATCTATATTTTACATTCCTTTCTAAGAAAAGTATCGCCTGTATAGTAAGGTTATATCACCTGTATAGTAAGATAGTATCACCTGTATAGTAAGATAGTATCACCTGTATAGTAAGATTTTACGTAGAATCTTATAGTGCGTCTAATAGTTTGGCCATGGACGGCATAATGCTTTTATGAAAAATTGAAAGTTTATTTCACAAGCTTTTTAAAATTTGACATTGATAGTTATTGTATTAATCCACAGATATATAATGACGTAAATAAAAGGTGAATTTCATTTAATAATTTGTAGCTTCCAATTCCATTTACTCTTTTGATGCCAAACGATAATTCGCCTTATCTATAATAATATTTCTACTGTCCACTTTCTGAAGGAAGAAGTCTAAGTGTTAATAATGTGCCGTCCATTGACAGAATGTCTAGGATGTGAAGGCGAACTTACTGTCGGACAAAATAAAAGCATTTCCGTCTCTAGCTGCTCCTAATCCCTGAACCGACACAGCTAATCCTTTTCTAGCTTCTCACGATCATCTTTCGCTATTCTCCTTCTTCTTTTCTCACCCTTCGTCTAAGTATTCTTACGCCTCCCGTCCAATATATTCACCCCCTGTAGGCCTCTTTGCTTCTTTTTTGCTTACTGTTTCTTCTTTCAGCCTTACACTGTCGCGTAGTAAAAGAGTTCTGGGAGCTGCAGAGTTGACAGGCTTCTACAAATCGGATTGAAGATGGGCCGAGTTTTCCTCTCTACCCGCTGAAATTTTTTCTTCATAGAGAAAAAAAAGCTCTAGAACTATGTAATTTTATTCATTTATTAAATTATTTTCTTCTCTGAACTTGCAACTTTGTTTTTTCGTGGAATCTGTCCCCTTTTTTTAAGTTAATATTTTATAGACATTTTCTCTCTGGGAGGAAAAAATGGTCTAGATTTGATGTTGACATTTGTTGGCATGTTGCCTGGTGTGTCATTGAAAGTTATGACTCAATTTATTCTTTCACTTCATTTGATTTAAAGTGGTTTAGAAAATTCTGGATTTAATACATGTTGATAATATTCAGATAAGTTTAAGATTAATCTTATAATTAGCTGAAATGGCCAAATAAGATATGAAAAACAAATACGATTCATGCTCAAGGCAATATTAGGTACCGAATTTAATGTCATTTGCGCAGCCAGTACTAGGCTTTATTTTTATTTGTAGTCAGAACTTAATACTGTGTCCATGTCCACTAATGTAATTTCGACAATATTTTATCGTAATGTAGCTCCTTTTTCAAACTTTCATGTACAAAATTATAGAGAACGACAGTATTTGTCATAATCAAGGATTCGTTAAATTAAACATTTTTTTAGCCCTAGGTAAAGTAACATTCGCCTAATAGACTACCAATTTATGCCAGTTTTGCGAAGTCAGACTGATAGCATAGCAAATGCATACTATATTTTATCCTTTTTCAAAATTTCTTATGCAATATCAGGGAGAACTACAGTATCTGTCACAACTGAGGATTCACTATATTAAACAGTCATCTAACCCTAGATAACGTAACATTCGTCTAATGGACTACCTATTTGCGCCAGTTTTGCGAAGTCGGACTACTACCATAACACCTTAAAGTCTTCTTAAAAGCGTTAAAATTTTATTACTTATCTACATTATAGTAAAAATTTAAGAGTGTTTCCCTTGCGTTTGCGAATTTACTTGATATATTTCGTACTCTACGAGTAGAATGATTAGGCATAGAATAAGTAAGGACGCTTATGAGTCAAATGATAGGACGCAGAATAACACTGATATAAATTTACTTTTCTAGGGTTAAAAAATAAAGCATGACAAAGTCGCTCGTAACTGTCTGTCTTGTTTTTATATGCCAAGCTTATTTCGAACATCCACTTGGCGAGAAAAAGCCAACCGGTACAATTCATTAATGTTCATGGTCCAAGAAGATGGGATCTATTCATACCCTCCCGAATAGTGATTGTTCAACGAGATTCTGCTCTTGATACCCTTAAGGCTAGCTTCCGGTAAGCGATCGTGAGCACTTCGTGGAAATTTATGGAACAAATAAAGTTTGAAGGGCCATTCTGTAGGCTTGTGTCCGTCATCAGTTCGAGCGGAAAACTGGCCTTCCTCCTAATTCAGGCGTCGGTTAATCGGACTTCAATTTAGGGTGACTGATGAGAAGAGTATTACTTCTCTAGGGAGGGCTGAACCCCTACCATTCACCCTTAACACCCCCCTCCACAAATCTAACCTGGCTTCTCGCATAAATGCGCAATCTATGCAGCCTTCGCTTCCACGGACGGTTTGTCACTGCATACAAACTGGCTACTCGACGAGTTCTTGACATTCGTCTTGTCAATGAACGTTCAAGAGCAGCTGCTGCAACTGGCATTGATGGCGTATTGCATTGGTGAATTCGACACGCGAGGATGACTCGAGCCAAAGACTATTTTCCTTATTTATTTGGCGACTATTTACTTAAGGATAGTGTGTGAGGACGTTTATTAACAATATGGCTAATTTCATCAAAATAACATTTGAAATTTATTGATTCTTCCTGCGTAATTTTGTCTGTAAAATGATCCAAACCTTAATCTAAAGTTATATCATTCCTAGTAGATTTTCATGTAAAACTTTATTTTTCTTTATCATAGTTTATAGTTGCAATAGAGGAACGTAATTTAGTCTATTTTAAAATTTTATTCACTTGCAAACTCAAATATTCAATTTTTAAATAACTACGGATTTTATTTCCGACTTAATTACACAGGGTGTACCGTAATGAGCACTTTTAATACTCATTTTTACAATCATTTTTAAATAAATTGAGTCAATATTATGCGCATTGAGGGCTTGAAATTTATATTTATGTGTGAAAAAAGTGCAAAAATATTTTTAAACTCTGGCCAATTACTCTAGAGGTTAATATTAGCAAAGGAAGTATTAAAACATCTTAAATCATTTTATTTAAAGATGGAGCTTAAAAGCGGTTCATAGCGAAAAACAAACATATCTCAGTCTTAACTGACAGAATTCTCAAAATGCTTAATTAATTTTTTTTTTAAATTCTAAATGCATTTAGAAGTAATGAGTATTCAAAATTTAAGAAGCTTTGTAGGACCTGAAAAAATTTCAGTTTAGATTGAAAGGAAATGAGAGGAAGCTCTACAAAGCATTTTACGAGTCATGTACATGTAACAAAACAGTGTTATTTTAAGAATCGGCATGTTTTATGCTTAGATTTGTCCGTAATGTGTTCTTTAACGCATTATTATTTGCTGGCTATTGTTGAATTAGTGACAAGTGCTTTTGAGTACAGCACTCGCCACTGGTTATACTTAAATTTTAAAAAACATGCATATGAATTAATTTTTAATAAATTTTTTTTTTAATTGTTTTCAGGCTGTTGTTGAATCAGTGACAAGTGCTTTTGAGTACAGCGATCTTCAGATAGATGAAGGCAAGTCTGTAAGTCCGGACATGCTCTTCGACAAGAACAAAGAATTCTTATATGTTATGACAGAAAGAAGAGTAAGTTGAAAACATACCCTGTTTTTTTTTAAGTGAATAATTAAAATATCTTAGCAGCTTATTAGTTAATATTGCAGTTTATTTCCTGTTGTACAAACCAATTTTATAGCTGTTGGAACATGAAGGAAAAGTTCCTTGCCATTCTTTTCGGATGATGGGAAGATTGAATAGATTCGTCATCATCTTCCCTTTCTATGTTTATTATGGAAACAGCACGTTATTTCTTTCCTATTCCATTGCTGCAAGATTTTTTTTTTTTAGTTAGTCTCTCTAAACAAGTACGACGCATCACAAGCATACTATCAATTAAAATTACAAATATGAGGTATAATAAAATTTTTAAAATGAAGACATTCTGAATCATCTTAACTTTTATTTTATCCAAGTATTATTCTATCCTCTAAATTTAAAATTTTCTGAAAGCACTATCTATGATATATAAACAACACCACTATATAAAGCATGAGTCGATGGCTCAATCTTAGATGCACCAAAATTACCACACTGCTACAATATATCATATCTTATATTATACAATTTTATCAAAAACTGGAAAAATAGTTGTTGTGAAAATCATGCAAAATACAATGTGAAACAATAGGGAACTGGAGCTCTTAAATTTTTAATGCTCCAGGACTCCAGCAATTTCAGTGTATTTTACAGACATTCACGAGGTCTGTTGCATTGTAACACTATTGCCGTTAGTCAACTTGCTGTAGTAGGATTATTCTCGTCATTGAAATGCATTTAAAATCATTTAGGTTCAAATTTGAAGGAGGATTTATTAGATTCAAATCTTTTCTCAAGAATGAACAAATAACTCAACTGTGAATTAAATTTAATCTTTATTTTCTGTGCGAACTGAGGATAATTTATTATTTTCTCAATGTTCTTTTTTATACCAGAAATTTCAAACTGAAATTTGAAACTCAAAAGCACGCATAAATATATAGTAAAATACTCGAATCCGCAGCCTTAGCGGAGCTGAAGCGTTTGCTTCTTATTTGGAGCGAAGCTGGAGAATCGAAAATTTTTCGTCTCCGGATTCCAGCAAGGCAGTTTTAAATTCTTCCACATATATTTATCTATGTATATATTCCTCTTTGCCATTTTTAGATTCAAATCTTGGAACCTCTGAGATTAAAATCTAAAAATGTAACTTCCTAGAAACTCTTAATTTAGTATTCTCTTCGGCGTTTGCCATTTACAAGTACATTTTTTCAAGCTCCTTCATTCCGAAATAAATTGAATTAAAAACAAATTCTAGAAAGTCAGTCACCGAAACAGTGAAACATATATTTCTCCCGACCTTGCATTTTTGTTTTCAAGTATCCTTTTAAAGTTTCTTACGCTTATTTACTTTATTTTTCTTACTTCTACCGAAAGGTTTTAACCTAACTAATTGATGGCGCAGCGAAACCGCTTCGCTCAGCAAGAAGCCAGCTTGTACCCACTGAGCCAATGGTAATTACTTTCGATTTCAAACCTTCGAAAAATAAGATTAGAAGAAGATGGAAAAACTCTTCGACTCGGTACCCTTTGGAAAGATGCGTTAGCTTTTTTTTTCTTCTTTTTTTTAAGAGTTGCAGTCTCAGTTAAGGCTAGACGATCTGCTTCCTGAATTTTTCTTGGGCCCAAAAAGATGTTTACGTTGGTCGTTAGCGTGCACAAACAGGATTACTCCGCGGCTAGCTGTAATCTCTTTAGGTATCGCGATGATTATGCGAAAAAAGGTCTCACCGTCTAGATGTACAAAAAGAAACGTTGGAGAATCGCAGACGGGGCAAGAGGAGATATGAAAACATCGCAAAAATCGATCGCTACTATCGTTTTTTATTTCCCTTTTTGAAGGGATTCTACTTCCCTCTCTATCCCCTACACACAAAAACTTCAAGGAATAGACGTTGCCAACATGACTAAAAAAGCAAAAATTGCATTTCTAACGCCATCCTCCTTGCTTTTGGAATTCCATACATTTGGAATATGTATTAGGTTTTTGTTGCTATCGAAAATAGCCGAAGTCAAGGAGTTCCCCTTCCTTTCATTTTTTAAGATTTTTCTAGTTTACCCATGCCTCAAAGTTTTATGGGACAGACACCTAAAAAACATTAAAATTACAAATATCCAACAGATTTTTTTAAACAACTGCTTTCAACTTTTGTATGCATTTGAAATAATTTGTATACGTTCTCCTCATTTAATTTTGAAGTTGTTCAATTGATATTTTTCTTATTTGTTCGTATTTAAATATTTCTGAGCATCTCAAATGATTTCATAACCTCTACATGACTTTTAATTCTTTCTTTTACATATTTTCCCAATAAAAAAATCTAAAAATTAAGGGCATTATTGGCCTTTGTATATTAATTTTTTAAATGAACGTGGAATTTAATGTTTAGGCTTCAAAATTTTACGACTAACGTTATGATTGGAAGCAAAACATACCGTTTAACATACAAAATAGTTGTTTATAAGTCTCATAAGTTATATAACTGTTGTTAACATTCATTTTGTTAGCTTTTGCTAATTTTTTAATGTATTATGTTGAAGAAAGCGATAAATATTAACAACAAAAACCATAACACAGTGCAAAGTTGCTGCATTGATAATTAGGTGTCAAAATTGAACCAATTCTCCGTTCAAATTCATACCGTGAAATAAAGTAAAGCATTCCCGCAACAGCCCTTTGTGGACATTGAGTTCCTGGAGGTTAAGGCTCCACAATTTCACGACCAACTGCATGATTTTGGCATCGAGTTGAAGCTGGATCTAAGTAAAGGAAAAGCCATATTTTGGTCAAACTTTGCACTCTTTTAAGGTTGCAGCAAATTTAGACGATATAACGATTCAAAACGTTCCAAACTTTCTAACAATGTCATGTATGTAACAATGTCAGTTGGGACTCCGGTGTCTCTTTTATACACATTTTTATTGACGCTCTAATTACAAGCAAAAACATTTTTTTTTCTGATACAAAACACTCTAAAAGTTACTAAAAAAATCTGTTAAATTATCGGAATAATATTTATCGGATTATAAAATATTAAATCCCCAAAAAATTAATATGAATTTTTTTTTCTTTCATATTCAAGAATTTATTGTAACTTAAAGAAATTTAAATGATGAATAATTGTTTCTCTTAGATCTAAAGTAATAGTTGTGCAAATTTGAAAAATTGTTGTTTTGTTATGAGCCGTGTTGGAAGATTTTACCAGTAACGCAGAAAAAGACACCTTGGGTTTTTCTAACTTGCTGTTTCATACTGCATTCCATAACATAAAATTATTAAAATTCTAAATATAACATTTTTCACTTATTTTGACCTAAATTAATACAAAATAATAAATAAAATAAGAAAAATATGTTTAATAAAATTTCTGCTTCAAAGGGTTAAGATATGTACTATAAAACAAAGTTCACACAATTATACGGTTTTAATCCCATTCAAAAGCACTTTTTTAAAAACAGTAATAGTACCTGACTGTAATAATTTAGTACAAAAAAATGGTTCAACTTATCACCATTGATCGTAACAAATTTTAAGACTATCATGGTTCAACAAACACCAAAATTTCTATAAGTTTTGGCCAATTAAAACTAAGACAACGTTTTTGCGAATTAGGCTGTTTTAACTACAATCTCTTTAAAAACCACTTATCCGAAAATATTATCAGTCCCTGACTATTGTTTAAAAAAATATTTTTAAAAACGTGAGTTTAAAGTACAAAAAAGAAGAAAAATGTTGCGTGTTGATCTGAAGTACTCCCATTCTATATTCTCAGTGCTATCGTCAAAATTCACCGAGACTAGGTAGTAAAAAAGTAATAAAAAATGGCGGAAAATTCTCTCGTAATTTCTTTTTACAAATGCAGTAACCACATGATTTCAAAACTTTTTTTTCTACCTCGACCAATTAACTTGCACACGCGAATGCATTAGCATATTCATCGCATTCCGACCTTTTCACTAGCCAATTTTTATTTATTCGCGGTATTTACTTTTTCATTCTCCAAACGCCTGCAGGAGAGAAAAAATTCTCTCAGAAATGAGAAAATTGGGTTTTTCTAACTTGTATTTACCTTAAGTATACATTATTTTTAAAATTTTTTTTTTACCTAGCATGAAATCTATTTAACTCTTTGCAAAATGTAAAATTGTATTTTCTTAATTGCTAGTTTTTCAGTTAAATTTTTATTGCTATAACATTTTAAAATTGTTAATTAGTTTTAAAAAAACTTAAACTTTCGTTTTTAAATAGCTTTTAAGGAAATTGCTAGACTACCCATATAAATTCTTTTGAAATGTTTTATACATTTCGTGTTTTTGTATAATTTTTAACCAAGTTTTTTGAGCTGTTGTTTATAAAATTTGCTCGGAAATAAAAAGCAAATGTATGCAAGATTTAATGCGGTTATTTGTTGGAAAATAACTATTTTTACGTTATTGAATGAATAATGCGTATAAAAATAAGCTTAAGTAGTTAATTCTGAAGACGCACTGTTATGTTAGAAAAAGCTTCACGAGATATAATACTCTCAATATAGCACTCAATATATATATANAAAATATATATAAAAGAATCAACAATGATTTAAACCTATTGTTAGATTTTAAATAATTTTACTTTATTTAATGAAGAATACGTGAAAAATGAGCCTAAGTAGTTAATGCTACAAACGCACTGTTCAGAATGAAAAAGCGTCATGGAATACTCTGAATATAATAGTGCCGTATGAACGAATCAACAATGATTTTTACCCATTGTTTATTATTAAATACTAACAAGTTATTTTTTTTTTAGAAATAGTAGAGAGAAAGTTTGATTTTTAGTGTAATTTTTTCGGAATTGGTAAGTTTTTAGCTTATTTAGGGAAAACAAAGGAGAAATTAAATAGGAGCGAGTATAAAAAATGGAATTCTGTTAAAGAATGGTATGAAAAGAAGTTAAAAACTCTCAAATAGAAACTTTTTCGAGTAGGCTAACATTTGTGATACCATTA